GGGGGGGCCGAGTCTCCGCCGGGGCCCGGCGGAAAGCCACAAGCTGAGGGTGAGCTCAGCAAAGCAGAGGCTGCACGGGTAGGTGAGGTGCTGGAACATCGCTCCGGGTCCATCTCCGCCGCTGACTCACCCCGCGGCATGAGCCCTCCCTTCCCTAACAACAGCCGTCCCGGCACAGGGAATGGGGGCGAGAAGGAAGGGAAGGAGGGAAGGGTGGGTCGAAACTCTCCCCGTCGGTATTTAGGACACTCGATCCGCACAGGACGGCTGCTTCGGCACGCAGGAGCCAGGAGACAAGTGAGCTGGACGGGTCAGCGGCCTCGGCTGTCAGATCATATCTGCCGCGGAGCCAATGGCTTCACTGAGGGATGAGTCACTCAAGGTTTCCTCCCTGGGAATCGAGTTTCAAAGTGATTCAAGAAATTTCCACTGTGCTAAAAATTAGGAACATCTGCTGAAGTTGTAGGCAGCTGCGGTGCCAAGTTTAGTAACGGCGCTCGCAGCTGATGGGCACGGCGATGCCTTAGCAGGTGCCCTGGCTCGCAGCACCGGAGGGGACCCCGCTCGGGCGCCCGGAGATGCCAACCCGCCGGGTCCGGATGCGGCTGACATCTCGGGGGTCGGTCGGTAACTCACCCGAGAAATGTCAGCATTCGGGGTGGGGGGTGATTTCCAAACACTCTTGGTTTCCTTCAGTGCCCTCCATTGAAAGGTAAATTAAAAAAAAAAAAAAGCTTTCTGGAATTTGGTTTAAAAAACATGTTTTAGAGAAAAAAATTAAGGGTGTAAAGTGGAAGAGGTGGTGCAGTGTAATGCTGCTACACGGAGGAAAGCCCTGCCACAGAGTCCCCTCGTGCTGACACTCCTCGGTCAGGGTAAAACAGCTCTGAAGCACAACTCAGCAAATCCTCCAGGGCCGACGCAGCCGTGGGACCGGGAACAGAACCCATCCGCCCGCGTCCAGCCCCCGAGCTTCGCCTACGGCCGGGGGCCGCCGCACGCTCCCCCCCGCGCCCCG